AATAATTACGTTTCTGGATCTACACCTTCACTTTCTTTTGCTTTTTTAAGTCGTTCTTCCAGCTCTGATTTCTTCCGTCGTCTCCAGTTCACGTTTTTCTAACTTACGTAGTAATTCCGTCACTTTTAAATCACTTAGTTTTTGAGCCATTTTTGTCCACTATTTATTTACGGTTCCATTTCCAATACCAATGTAAAGTTTGTTTAATTTATTTATAGTTTATTTATTTAAAACACTTTATTTATAATGTACTAATTAATTTATATAATACTTGTACTCACAATTCTAATTTATTTATTACATTTGTCTTTTCTATAGAGCCTTTAAATTGAAAACATCTCTATCGATAAAGTCGCGGCTATGTATATAAAAATGTAACGGCCCATAAAGAACCAATCCTGCTGGAAGAATCTTGAAGCGTTCTCTAAATGCTTTACGTATGCGTCAGCGGCATACCTAGAATATTCCGGTTTCTACCATAGATATATAACCAAGACAGATAGGATTATTTACAAAATTTTTGAAGAATGAACGGTGGTGTCCGCGGTAGAAACCCAATAATCGGATTGAACATTGATGCCAAGTTTACGTGCTTTTAACTATAGATATATATAACCAAGACAGATTACACAATTTCTGAAGTCAACGCGGATGATCCTCGACAGAAATGCAATATTTGGATAAAATTAAAATATTGATGCCAAGTTTGCGATGTTTTTAACTGTAGTAATGTTAATGCGTTTGCTTGAAATATTGTTAGGTCTTTAAATTGTCCAAAAAAAGATAACGTCTGACAACAGCGGAACTATAGTAGACCGCAATTGTGGAGGGTCGTATATTGTTTCATTCATAAAATTCCTTTAATACAGTACTAGTCCAGGAGCCAGTGAATTTTTTTCGTACTTGTTTTCCCGGTCCGTGTATATTTAAATAATCTATTCCCAGTGAACTGTATATTTAAAATGGAACGCCAATCTATTAACAAAAGCATGCCAGATTGAATTCGCGCATTACGTCACATCGATACAAGTGAGATTGTTTACAAAGTGCCTTTGCAGGCCTATTTTGCCCATTTCATGTATTTGTTTTTAAATCATGTTAAATTACTATTTTTGAAACTCGACAAGGAGAAAATCCAATTAACTCTTCCGTTGTGTATATATATAAGATAAATTAACTGAAGTTTTATTAGTAAAGTATTAACACTAAAATTTTCCATAAAAACGACCCCATCTCAAGCAACTTATGTTCACTGATTTAAGTTATCGAGTCAGGTATTATGTTTGGTTTAATAAATTAAAAGTATTCTTTATCGTTAACAACAATTTAATAGATGAGAAATACGTTTTTTACATTTTTAATGTAATTTACAGAAAATAGCTAGGTATGTATTTGTTTTTAAATAATTTGATAATTTATGAAAAAAGGGAGTAAAAGTGGAATGACCAGTGGCCAGTAGGTCAGTCAATACAATGTATCATATATTTCTATTATAACATAACTAAAATACATCTTTTAATCATAAGGGCATAAGTTAAAAACCATTTTAATATATGCATTAGAAAGAAGTAATAATAACTTAAAGAGACGAGGTCTTAAAGTAATAGCTGGTACAGCATGTTTTTTAAACGTTTCCTCATTCCTGCTAGAATGAAATCACTTACTATGAAATGTGCTCTAAAAACGGCATTTATAGCAGTCAGTGTTTCAGTCTTAGGATCTCTTCCTAAAGCCCTCATCCAAGCTGCATACATATTAAAAAATAATAAAAAAAAAACATATTATATACCTATATAGTTTTCGGTTCTGGGTGCCCTAAAAGAGGACACAGCCGACAATTTGGCTCAGATAGCTAAAACTCAAAAGTCACACCCCGAACCAGGACGTATTGCTATCATTTTAAGTAAAAAATAACTACAAATAACTTACCTGAAAAATGAAGGCGTCTAACTTTACACCAAAAAAACCATACAATTTTCCCTTTGTTGCAAGCACCCGATGACGATTAGGTAGATATCAACAAGAAGCATGTACTTAATGGTTATAAAGCTTATTTTACCACAAAAAGAATAAAGCACTAGTCGAAAAGCAGCAATCAAATATAAATAGACCACAATATTAAAATCCAAATTAAAAACTATATAAAAGACAAATACTCTAAAAGCGCAAAAGATCAGAACCAAATAAAATGAATAACCATAATAACCTAAAAATCACACTAAAATTGCAAAAACTATTACTGTAAAATCATAAGATTACATCAATAATGCATATGCGTCGGAGTATCGCAAATGTCAAAAGTACAGTGTTTCCATGAAAATTTAGCTATGTTTTTAGCAGTATTATAGGACCATTTCTACCACGCGCATCCAAGGATATTGGCGTTCCACAGTTCACTGTATTTTCCTCACACCTCTAGTATAAATGATTTGACATAACGAAACTAACAATAATTATAATTAATGTAGAGTAATAAGTGTTTCGTGAATTCTAAATAAAACAATTATTATATAAAAGTGTAAAAGGAAATGTAATTTATTTCCCTATTTTCTTCTGTATATCTTCAATTATTATGTTTAATTTCTATAAATAAACCAACTGGTTAGGTGAAACATTGTGATATATGATTTTATTTATGTGTCCTATGCGTACACTTTAATATACAAAACACCTGGAACATTCTTTAAATAATTGTGGTCCTAGAAATAATTGTGTACATAACTCGTTTGAAAGTGTGCCTTTATGCACTTGCCAAATATATTATCCATACAGATTAATCAGACTATTTTTTTACTTAACTTCAGTACATCTCTTACTACTAAAACTATTTTTATCAATGGAAAAAAAGGGCCGTGTTCTCGTATGTTTTGACGCATTTTTGGCCTCAGCCCATCGGATCCCCCTCTAAATGTATATGAATTTTGCTTAGAATTGCTAATCCTACAATTCTCTATTCGTGCTTGCTGACTGGGAAAATAAATACCGAAAATCGTCACTGTCTCCTGGACTATACAATAGATGATGATGAGAACTTCACAACAAATACACTTTTATGAATGGCTAGTTGAGGGATGTGGTTTCTACCATGAATCGGGTGGCAGACTTCACGTCGCATTCTAGACGGCTCAGGCTCAGGCGTTCTCATGACATTACATTATACTATTCATGCTTAACATCAAATAACTAGGAACTGACAAAATATATTCTATATTATTTATTATTTGTGATATAAATATACATTTTGTTTCTTCTGAAACTCAACTGGCCCTTATTTTCTTTTTTAAAATTATTTGCAACTCATTTTTACTAAAAACTTCCTGTAGAAAACCCTTTTTTTCTTCAATAATTTACGTTCTTTTAATAAAGCCCTTTGACTTTTCCTGCTCTTGATTGTGTTTTATGCTTGTAAGAAACCATCTCGTGTGCTTTTAAATGTAGGGTGGGCAAAGCTGCAATTAATTTAATAATTGTGAATGACAATTGCAGAATAATATTTTAAAATCTTATTCATATTCATATTCATATATTCATATTTTTAACATTGATTTGATATTTTTTAAAACAGCACTGATTCCCTTTCTATTAATAATTTTTGTTTGTAAAAATTGTCTTGCTAACATTACATTAGAGCTTGCTCCAGGCATTTAAAAATTTCAAAATGTGGTCTGAGTTCGGCTCGGAAGCGGTACCCTAACCACAAATTGTTTAAAATAAACCATTCACATAATAATAATATCTATTAATAATTCAAATAAAAAATAATTCTTTTGAAATTTTATGGAAATTGTTCCAAAATTTTTCTTGCTATTTTGTAGGTTATCTTTCAAAAAATCAAACCCGATATTTTAAAAACTCGAACAATGGAAACCAGTCAAAAAATAAAAATATAAACATCATTAAATAATAATAAAATATTGGATTTTTAAATACTACAGTACGAACCACAGCAAAATTGTTTCTTTCGCCTGGCTTTTAGGCCATTTCATTCCGTGACGCCACAGCATGCCCTTATTAACCGGAAGAGGCCACCGTAGTAGTTTACGAACCGTGCCCATATCCCACGTGAAACAAGAAGTTTGATGATAATGGCCGTTATTTTTTTTTTTTTAATTTGGTGTCATCGGCGTCGACTACTACGGCCATTAAGTGTAATTTCTGTCAAATACGTCAGTGACATTGTTTTAAGGTAACTACTAAAGTTATTAATGTTACTTTTATTCAATTGATAACATCAATTTGGTCACGTGAAATAATGTGTTTTTTTTTTTGAAGACTCGTTAAATTATGCCAAAACTATTATTATTTTATATATTACCTATAATAGTATATTTAAAACAATAAAAAAATTAATATTTTTTTAATTATCGCGATATTTTAATGTCGCTGTTAGAGTGACAATAAATTACGAATACATGACTTTCTAAAATAATAAAAAATATTACGATGTCTATTTATATAAGTAAGAACAATACTTTTTTTAAAACCAAGGGTGTTCCTACTCGAGCCTTTTTTAGTTATTTTTATATTTTAAGTTCCCAAAAATCAAGTTTCTTACTTTAAAAACACCAGAAATATAATATGCATTTAGAACTTTTCTCGAGGACATCAATAAATAAAATCAATAGAAATTTTTCTATTTTCTAGATAGTATTCCATTTCTCCATAGTATTAAATTGAAAATATTAGTTAAATTACTAATACTTATAAAAACCAAATACATTTATATTTTAAATACAGGGTGTCCCAGTGAAAAGTAGTCCGTTTCCATTTGATAAAATTTGGTTACGGTGAATTTAAAAGAGGGGATTTTAAAAAACACCCTGTATAGGTAATACGTAATTTATATGTCACTGAAGCAAAACTTATAGCAAAATAATACATATCAGCAAAAACCTCACGTTTCTACGATTTGTTTAAAAGTTATAAGCTCTGGAAATGGGCTACTTTTCACTGGGACACCCTGTATTTGTCTGCTTCAAAATGATTTTATATTGTTACAGACTCATCAAATTAGCATGGAAGAGGTATTGACGAGTTCCACACAATCCTAGGTAATCTTAATCACAACAAATTGTGCTGATTACTCACATCCTATCAACTACTGGGGGTCAAGAGGCATGTAAACAGTAGATAACGACTTAACTACACTTTTCTTGAAAGATACTAAAAATACTCTTTCATATTAAAGGCGGAGAGATGTGAACATCCGCGCGCTATATATTTTAAACTGATAAAACTAATTCGAAATTTTGGTTTATAAAGAAAAGTTAAGATGTTTCGGTGTATCAACTCCTACTCAATCCTCTACATACTATTCGCTTTGTCCATAGGGATGTGCTACGGCTTTGTTTTGCTCTCTTCGGCATCTGGTGATTTCAGCGACGTAAATATTTTTGAAAATGGACAATCCTTAAGGTATAAATTGCAATCGACTATTTTACTGAATGAAAGAAACCTCAGTGCTAAAAATGTCGGATTCTTTATTGACGGAGAAGTTACCATTGATTCGATATGGACACATGGAGATCAGAAGCTGCTCAAAATTGAGGTAATACCTTTTTCATCTATTTTTTTATAAATAAATAATTCATAAGTGCAGCACATAGAATAGTCATATTTTCTGTAACAAGGGTGGAATGAAAATTCCATACGAGTGGAAGATTCTGAACGCGAACGTATGCGAGCGTGAAGAATCACGAGTATCGGATTTTTCATTCCAATAGAGTAACAGACTGTACTTTCTCCACGGCCGTTGAATATAGGTAGTAAACTGAAATTTTAAACAAAATTAAATATTTTGCATAATTTGTCAGTTCAGGAAGAGTATTATCAAACTCCATATCAGAATCATTATATTTACCCAATTTTGAACTTAAGCTCGACTTAACAAACGCCGCTTATCTTTATTCAGGCACAGAACCACGCACTTTTCTTATGCAAACGGGAGTACAGTCAAAATGTCTGAATTTTTTGTTTCCATCAAAAGTGTCCATGAGATTATGAGTTAGAAAACGACAATTCTTTAAAATTGACACCAAAAATCACCCTTAATATTTTGGTAATTTATTCGCTCATTTTGTTTAGTTAATGGGGAGCGTGGTCTATGATGGGACACTTTTCAATATTTTATTTTTTCAGGCGCATATTTTACTTTCTTAAAGGTTTAAGGGTATCAAATCATTGCTTCGGATATTCTTAATTATGTGTTATTTGAGATTTTATATAAAATTAAAAGTAAAGAATATATGATGGTTGTACCAGTATGAACCATTTGTCCCAGTATAGACCAATACAGGTTCATAGTGGGACCTCTATTGGTTCATGATGGGACACGTACGGTCTTATGCAGGGACTAATGAAATTTAGATACCTCTGGAGTATCAATCTTAAAAATATTTAAAACATTTATTTGCAATCAAACTTAGTACAAAACAGAACATAAAATTATGGCACAATATAGAATTCTTAGGATTCAAAACATATGGTATCAATATCCTCTTTTTCGGAATATGCAAAACTATTACCTAGTACGAAGAAAAGAAACCACGTATTCGCCGTTTATAACATCTACACATCCAGCATAATAACGAATTGTTTTTTTGGTAGGGTATTTAACTATAACAAAATCTCCGATATCAATATCTAGATCTAATTCGTTGTCCTCATCATTACAAAATGTATGCATTCATCAATCGTATCCTCTGTTTCTAACTCTTCTGAGCTTGGTTTGTTCTTTTTGTATTTTTTTGTAAGTAATTTTTTATTTCTTTCATTATTTTTTTTTCCAAACACTTGTTTTGTAACTTTTTGTTTTTTATTTTCTTATTTTTTTCTTTTAAAAATTTTCTTTCTTGTCTTTGTCTATACTCTTCCTCTATTTTATCTTTTACAGGAGTGTCTGTAAGTACTAGTGATTGTCCCTTCTTTCTTTTAGTAGTATTTTTTCTAGGTGCAGCTTTTAGATGGGGTCGAATGGTTTCAGGTGTTACTAATGTGGATGTTCTAGAACATGAAGGTCCAGCTACGGGTGATAAATCCGTAGGTATGAAATATACAAAAGTAATATCAACAGAATTAACTAAGTTTTCTAGAGGAAGATGACGTTCAAAATTATCAACTTCGGTGGATGCCTCTTGGATAGTGTTTGCTTCGCATGTTAAAGTACTTCGAGATTTTGGGTTTAAAAAAGTGCTTGCTTCACATGTTAAAGTATTTTGATTCAATAAAGTTACATCTTCAAGACGGTCTGTGACGTAGGACATCATGAAATCTTGATCTGTAAATACGTTTGAGTTAAGCGGGCAAATGCCAGTTTTCTCAAAACCTTTTAAAATATTTGTTGGGGTAAACGCAAGAGGAAATGCTTTACCAACAATTTCACTTATATTATAGATTGTTAACGGTGTCCCCGGGTGATTAATCATCCATTCATCAGCTGATCTATTATAGTAAGACTTAAAGGGTCCAAAGCAAGACACATCCAAGGGCTGCATCCGGTGGCTGCAATGAGGTGGTAAGGTCAATAAAACTATGCCATTATCTTTTGCTTTTTGTAAAACATCCACTGCATAATGGCTTTCATGGTTGTCTAGTATAATCAATATTTTTTTTCTGGAGAGCAGTTAGTATGTTTAATAATATGATCCATACACTCTAAAAATGTATTTGAAGTCATCCAACCTGTAGGAAATGCCGAACCACTAGAACCAGGAGGAGCGTGTTGTAACATTTTTAGCAGAAATTTTTTTCTTGGAAAAACCATAAATGGGGGTATAAAAGTACCATTGCCGGATATTAAACAACATAAGGTTACTAATATACCTCGTTCTCCCGAAGTAGTTTTTCCGACTTGTTTACAACCACTTTGAGCTAATATCTTTGGAGGCTTGTGCACAGTCGTCACACCAGTCTCGTCTAAATTATAAATGTCACTTGCACAAAATTTATACTTTTGGAGAACATTTGTCAGATTTTTAAAAAATTCACTGACGTTGTGTTTGTTAAAGCTTGTCGCACGAGACAAGCTCGTAGCTTCTGGTGTACGTAACTTTAACCGAGAATTTCGATGTCTGAAATTTTTCATCCACTCACCTCCAGCGACACCATTTGTATTCCAGGTGTCTGGTATAACTATTGAATTTGTAACGGCAAACGAATATGCCAAAATTCTAGTTTCTCTTTCAGTTAAGCCATAGTACATATAAGAGGCATCAAGTAAATACTGTACCAACATAGCTTCCTCTGCTTCAGTAAATACTGATTTATACCCATGTTTTTGCACAAAACTATATTTAGCTTTTTCGTCATCTGAAAGAGTCTTATATTTTAAAATATTACGATGTAAAGCCGATTTTGATATCGAATGCGTTGCTGCTCTCTCAAAGTTTTTTGTCCGCTTATCACTTGCAGCACTGCTTCCTTCATTTGATTTGCTCTTTCCAAGTGGAATATAGCACTATCTTCATAATGCTCTTTTAACTTTCCCCTTGGCCACTTAGGCAATGTTACAAAATCTGCAACAAAATGAAAAAAGTTTAACTAATTATTTATTACTTAACTAAGTAATAAATAATAACCTAAAAATTTATTTTTTCTCCTATGAAAAAGAGATTTTTATGTTTTAGATTTACTAAAACAGTTAAAAATCACTCGAAACCCCATATTTATTTTTGTTTATAAAAACTGTTAGCAAAACACTTAAAATTTGCATTATTTCTCATTATTTATATGTTTCCCAGTATAGACCACATTTTGGGGTGTCCCGGTATGCACCATACATGAATTTCCCAGTATGAACCAGTTCATAAAATATTTATTGTAGCCGATTGTTTAAAATAGGCAACATAAAATACATTTATTGGCATAGTCGCTTACTGTCTAATGCCATAACCTCAAAACATATTAAATATAGTTTTAAAATTTTAATTAATAAAGGAGTTATAAACAAAACTGTTTGAATAGAATGTACAAATGTAATTCATTATCTTACCTTTTTACCAAAAATCTCAAATTTGTCAAAGATCACAATTTCCTAAGACACAAAATGCGAATAAACTTACGACACAACATAAGGTGGTTCGATACTTGAAAAGATTACTTACAACGTTGTCAGATTGATTGTCCCATTATGAACCATGTCCCAGTATAGACCACGCTCCCTATACACTACTATAATCAAAATATTGTCATTTACAGGGTGATTCGTGATTCCTCAGATCTTTTTCGTATAGTTCTTGATGTACTCGTTCAAAATTCTTATTGGTAAAATTGAATCCTATGACTAGTTTTATAAATATAACTTAATATGTAACTAATATACCTATAGGTATAATAAATATATCGCTGTGGCTAGGTACACGCTAACGTGTACACAAATCAAAAAATTATATATACGCCAAACGTCATCAAACGTTGAATTAGTCCAAGTTAGTTAGATCAAAAAGGCGATTCCTCAGGACGAGGCCCATAATAATACTCGCGTATCGAGGACAACACTAATGATTTGTAATTGCTGTGGCGGGAGGTGTTTGTGTGAATGCGTCTTGTTTGTTTTCATTTACGCCGTGACTAGCAGTAGTATTTTATAAACCTTAGAAGCAAATTTCACATACATGAACAAATAATAATAATGCCGTGATTAGTCTATTTAAAATAACTGTACTTGTTGTTTTGCAAACTAAGCCATCTTGTATGTTTTTTGGGGCGCTGATTACGAAAATCGGGATTAAAACTTGCAGAAATGGTTGAACCACCCCTAAAATTTCAAAAAAAAACCAGTTTCGTAATCAGCGCCCCAAAAAACATATAAGATGGCTTAGTTCGCGAAACACCGTGACTAATAATTTTTTCCGAAAATTCACCCTTTGGGAGGGGTGTTTCTGGCATGTGGGGGGTGTCACACAAATTTTCCAGTCTCGACATCCCGATTTTGGAAATCAGCGCTCCAAAAAACATATGAGATGAGTTAATTTGCAAAACAACAAGTACAATCGAAAAACACCCCTATTTAGGGGTGTTTTTTTGCAAATTTAGTGGTGGTTCAACCATTGCTGCAAGTTTTAACCTGATTTTCGTAATCAGCGCCCCAAAAAACATATAAGAAGGCTTAGTTTGCAAAACAACAAGTACAGTCAAAAAACACCCCTAATTAGGGGTGTTTTTTTTTGCAATTTTAGGGGTGTTCTAACCATTGCTGTCAGTTTTAACCCTCATTTTTGTAATCAACGCCCCAAAATACGTAGGGGTCAAGTGGTCTCGTCAAGTGCGGCGTTTCTCGACCTTTTACCGTTATTTTAAATAGACTATGACAACAAGAAGACGAAGCAACGACTTCTCGTAGGGAGGCGGCTTCGCTGCCACCAGAAAATTTCAATCCGTATCTCGCTACGCCGACCGGCATAAACACCAACCGCCTGGACACAGCCCACTTACTCTGTCAAAAGGAGACCGATGTACAAGTAAGATCTTGCGCATGACGTTTCGCGTATATATAACTTTTTGAATTGTGTACAAGTTAGCGTGTACCTAGACACTCTGTAAATATATACG